CGGGGTCAGGGCCCCTGCCGGCTCGGCTGCCGGGCCTGGGACGCCCTGCTCCCTCCCCCACCCCGGCCAGCCCTGCCCTGTCCAGGCTTCTAAAGCCGAGGGCTAACTTGAGGACAAGTGACCCCAGGCCAGGTGGGGGCTAGGGACAGAGCAAGGTGGGGAGAGCCACCACGTGTTCCAGGGTGGGCTTAGGCACCAGAGAGTATTGCGAACGAGCTGCTTCCATGGAGCTCCTGGCCCCGTAGAGAGTGCTCAGCTGGGAGGCCCTGGGCCTCTGGGCCTGGGGAGGCTGGGGCAGTGCTGGGCAGGCAGAAGAGGTCTCCTGCAACAGGAAGGTGACCCTCCAGGGCCACCCCTCACCCAGGGCGGGAGCTGATAAGTTTCGTTCAGACGAGGGCCTCCAGCCTGGGACTGTGAGAAAGTTCGCTGCTTCCTCATCTCGGAGGCTGGGCCTGGAATTCTGCAGCCTGGAATTGCTCACTCCGGGGGTTGCCAGGAAGTGGGGGTGGGTGGAGAAGAAGGCCAAGCTGAGTGGACGCCAGCCCGCCCCGGGCCCCTCACATCCTGCATTCCCGGAGCAGCTGGGGGTGGCAAGAGGCAGCGGGCACTGGCTGCCGAGAGTCCTCTGTGCAGGCCAGGGGTGCAGAGGTCAGGCCCCTTCCCGTCTGCCCGCCACCCCCCTCTGCCTGCCGCTCAGGACTGAGGCGTGCAGTTTCCTTCCTCAGAAAGTCTCCAGGTCTGGCTAGAGTCAGCAGTCCTGGGTTCGAGCCCAGGGCTGCCGTCCCCTAGCTGTGTGTCTTTGAGCCAGTAGCCTTGCCTCTCTGAGCCTTGGTTTCTCCATTGGGAAAAGTGGTGCTGAGAACCCCTCCCTCGTAGGGTTGAAGTCTGAGCCCAGGGCTGCTGAAACAGGACCACAGCCTGGGGGCTCGCACAGCAGACGTTGACTGCCCCGCTCTGGGGGCTGGAGGCCTGAGGTCCGGGGACTGGCAGGGTGCTTCAGTCCTGTGTCCACATGTGCTCGTGTTTAGAGGAAATTTCTCTTTTAAAGAAACCAGTTAACTTGGATTCGAGTGCACCCTAATCCCCTCAACTTAGGTCTTTGAGACTCTGTGTCCAGGGGGCTGGATGGTGGCCTGGGGTGAAACGCAACCTTCTGTGAGACTGACCCACATGAGGAGGCTCCCAGTTCAAACCCAGAGACCTCCCTGGGTGCACCGAGCACACGCATTCCCGTGGTTTGGGCCCTTGGCTGGAGGCTGCCCCGTGGGTCCTGCTGCCTCAGCCCCATGCTTTGCCTTCTGGCCACCCGGCAGGCGGCTCCTGCCCTGCACACCTGACCTCCTGCATATAGAATGGAAATGCCTGGTTGTGGCAGAGTCTGCCAGGATTCTTAGGCCAAGCCTGGTCTCTAGGAGACTGTGTCCTGAGAGCCTGGCAGGGGGTGGTCCACCTCCGACCCGGGTGGGCTGCCCCTGCCCCAGGGGCTCTGCATGCCCAGCGCCCCTGTTCTGCTCCCACCATGGCTGCCCCAGCTCAGTTCCCTGAAAGGCAGAAGTCAATCCCAGAGTGCTCCTAGTCAGCCCAGGGAGCCACCCCTGCAGGAGGGATGCGAGCCTGTCTCCCCACTGCTGAGCTCTCTGGTCGTGACAGTGATTCCTGCAGTCAGCTGGGAGTCGGGGGAGGGTTTGCCTCACAGACAGGGTTTTTTCTCTGCAAGGGGAGATCGGCCTAGTCACCCGCAGTGGGACCTGGGGTTTCTGACGCATAGGCGGCTGTTTCCCTTCCCTGGGCTCTGGGGACACTGTGGTCAGGGGCATATTGCCAGGGGAGCCTGCCGCCGCCTGGCTCCGTGGTGCTTAACCACGTTCTATGCCCACGTCAGATTTTGCAACTTCCCGCTGCCTCCCGCACCGAGCCTGCGGGCTCAGCCTCGCCCACTGACCCGCCTCGGGACGTGACAGCAGAAGTCTGGAGACGGTGGTTGCCCGTTCTTTAACACAGGCCCTTCTTTTACTCTGGAATGAAGTTATACCAGTGGCCGTGCCACCTGCTGACCTGGGCACACCACCGGGAGGGCCTGCCAGGGCAGTGAGAAAGAACCCTGTCATCAGATTTTTTCCCCTTTTTTTTAGAATAATACCAGAGAGCCCACACACACATCAGAGAGCGCAAACCCCCAGTAGGCGTGGTTACGCTGCCATCCCTTCTCTTCTTCTCCACTGTCGGGATTTGGGGCACACATGCACAGGTGCCCAGTGTTTTCCAGCTGCCTGGGCTGAGCTTTGAACTGCAAGTTAGTCCTGGGGGATCTGACTTCCTTAACCACTCTGCCACGGGGCCAGCCCCCTGTTATCAGAGTCTAATGAAAATCAGGATGCAGTGCAGGACAGGACCCGGCCCCCGGCCCCAACCTCCCCTCCTTGGACTCCCCACACTGTGGCCCATGGAGCCCCCTGTGGAGGAATGAGGCAGGGTGGCGGCCCTGTGCCCATTGTTTGGAAGAGGAAACTGAGGCCCTTTTGGGTTCAGCGATCTGCAACAAAGCTCACAGGCCACACTAGGCCAAATTTTATAAATATATATATTATATATAAATATTATATTATATCATATATAATGGCCACATTGCAGTTCCTTCTCCATTCTTTCGGGATTTGGGGCACGCATGCGCACGCACCTGGTGTGAGTTTCAAGCTGCTGTATCTGGGAGTTGAACTGCATTGGCCACATGGGAGTCCAGCGACGGAATCAGTACACCATCTTCTGGTCCCAGCCAGCTACTCTTATTTTATTTTTATGGAAGAGAGAAGCACGTTAGGTGGGGTCTCATCATGCGCAGCACCCCTTCCCCAGCCCTCCTGCTCCTGGGGATCTTGGGTGTATGTGCACACGCTGGTGTGTTTTCAGGCCCAGCCAGGGATCCGAACCTGCAGTCAGTACGTGGCTTCCGGCACTGCAGTCCAGTATGCTGCCAACTGCCGCCAGCGCTGGGCCCCGTGGTCTGTCGTGGTTACTAAGGTTTACTGGGACAGAGCCAGGCTCGTTCATTTACGGATCACCCGCATCTGCTTTCCTGCTGTGAGGTGGAGAGCAGCCTGCCACGCTGGAAATGCTTCTGTGGCCCATCAACGGGAGGTTTGCAGGGCTCCTATCTGGCAGTCAGGGAGCAGCTGGGACTGGAACAACGGTCTCCGGGGGCCTCTAGAGCCACCCTGGGGGGCCTCTCACGGCAGGAGAGTGGCTTCGTGTCCTGGCTCTGTTGCCTGCTGCCCTTGCGATGCTTGGCCAGTGACCTGGCCTCGGAGACTGTTCTTCTGTCGAGTTAATGATGCTGCCCAGGTCGTGGGTGGTTGGGAGGGTTGAAGGAGATGAGGCGGCAGTGGTGAGGAGGCCTGCTGCTGGGGGCAGGGGAGGAGGTTACCTCTGTCACCACAGCTACAAGTGCTGTGACTCCATCGGCAGTCGTGGGGGGCCACACCAGGGCCTCCCGATGTGCACGCTGGCTGTGTGTGTGTGGTCATTGGTCAGCCTGCTGGTCCTGGGGGACCCTGCCGGGCCATCCAGCTGACAGGCATCCTGTCCCCCTCTGTCTCCTGGGCAGGGATCCCCGAGGACTCCAAGGTGGAGGGCCCTGCGTTCACGGATGCTGTCCGCATGTACCGACAGTCGAAGGAGCTGTATGGCACCTGGGAGATGCTATGCGGGAACGAGGTGCAGGTGAGGCAGGGAGGCCTCGGCAGCCCCCTGGTGCTCAGAGGGTCGGGCCCTGTAGGTTTGGAAGGACTTAGCAAGCTCAGGTTGGGACAAGGGGGACCCATGCCAAGTGGAGATGCGTTTTTCTGGTCAGTGATTTACTGGGCCCCTGCCCAGCACGAGGTGCTGGCACCACCGAGTAAGATGGCTCCTGACCCCGGAGTCCTCTTCTAGCAGGAGAAGCAGACAAAGTGAGCACCCACCTCCGTGTGCAGACCGAGTGGGGAAGGGGCGCGTGCAGAGGCCCTGAGGTGGGAGCCCTGAGTCTGAGGAACCCTGCGGAACACCCCCCAGCTAGCTTGGGCTCTTAGTGGATGCGTTCTGGGGGAGGGCAGCGGAGGGGTGGAGCAGAGGGCCAAGCTCAGAGGAGGGGGCATGAGCGGCCAGGCTCGCGGGAGCGCCAACAGTCATGCCAGCGGGACGTGCCCCCACACCTGCCCTGGCTCGTGCCTCCTGCCCTAGATCCTGAGCAACCTGGTGATGGAGGAGCTGGGCCCTGAGCTGAAGGCCGAGCTCGCCCCGCGGCTGAAGGGGAAACCGCAGGAGCGGCAGCGGCAGTGGCTCCAGGTGGGTGGGCTGGGCCCCGGAGCGGGTGGGCGCCCCAGCTGGCCTGGTGCCCTCAGTCCGGGTGCCATGCCGCCGCTGTCCCAGCAGATCTCGGATGCCGTGTACCGCCTGGTGTACGAGCAGGCCAAGGCCAGCTTCGAGGCGGTGCTGTCCAAGCTGCAGCAGGCCCGGCCGGCCATGGAGGCGGTCATCCGCACCGACATGGACCAGATCATCACCTCCAAGGAGCACCTGGCCAGCAAGATCCGAGGTGCGCAGGCTGCCCGCCAGGCTTTGGTCGGCCCGCGGGCCTTCCAGGGACCAGGGAGACCTCCTTTCTACTTCATCGTCCGTGTAAATTTCCCGGCAGTCACTTACATGTTGACCTGTTTTCTTAGAGAGAGATTTTTGCTATAGGGCGGGTGCGCTCGCTGGAGAGACAGAGAGACAGAAAGCGAGAAATCACCCCAGGGCGATGACCACGCCGCAATCCCTTCTCCCTTCTCTTGGGATCTTGGGCACACACGCACACGTGCCTGGTGTTGAGTTCAAGCTGCTGGGTCTGGGACTTGAACCATGGTTGACTACATGGGAGTCCAGCGATAGAGCCAGTACGCCTCCTGCTGGTCCCGCAAGTGGACCTTTTTAAGAATCAGAATCTACCGAGTTGCCCCTCTGATCCGGGCATTGTTTCAGAGCTGCGTCTGTAAACCCAGATCAAGGCCGACTACCAGGGCGGTTTATGTGCCTCTCGCCTCCCGGCCAAGTAGGGCCCTTTCTCCCCCTCGTCCACCAGAGCACACCCTCCGACTGAGCCGAGCAGCCGTGTTTCCGCGGACTGTTCTCTGCCGGCTGTGTCTGCTGGGAGCTGGCGAGGGCACAGGAGTAGATGTTCATTATGTGCAATAAGGAACGTTCCCTGGGCAGGGGTGGGGCAGACACCAGAACCCACTGAGTAAAACGCTTTGGTCAGAATGTTCTGGAGATGGTTCCTGCCCATGGGGAAGTGATCCTTTTACAGAACTGCAGAGCCAGGCTACACCATTCCAGAGCCGATACGTTCACTTTCTGCAAAACCAAGAGGCTCGCTGAGTCTGGTCTACTAAAGTGCCTTTTTGTTTGGTTTGGTTTTTGTAAACGAAGGAGTAAGACTCCCAAAGGCGGATTTCCCCGCTGCTCGGCTCCTTGCCCTCACGGGTTCAGAGATCCCAGGCGCAGTCTCAGCGCCCTTCGCTCATGCCGCGCGGGCTTCTCGCCTCGGTCAGCTCGGCTTGCTCACGTTGGCCCCCGCGGCTTTCTGGCGTCTGGACTGGGTGGGCCGGGAGGTGCTCCGGGGAGCGGCCAGCCCTCAGGAGCCTCTGCTGACTGACCGTCTGGGCGCAGCCTTCATCCTTCCCAAGGCAGAGGTGTGCGTGCGCAACCACGTGCAACCCTACATCCCGTCCATCCTGGAGGCCCTGATGGTCCCCACCAGCCAGGGCTTCACCGAGGTGCGGGACGTCTTCTTCAAGGAGGTCACCGACATGAACCTGAACGTTATCAACGAGGGCGGCGTCGACAAGCTGGGTGAGGTGAGGCCGCTGCCCTTGCACCCCGGGCCCTCCCAGGCAGAACCTGGGGACAGAGCCATGGAGCAGGGGGAGAGGCCACCACGACAGGGAGTGTTATCGTGGGGCCTCAGCCTGCGTAGCCCCAGAAGGGCTGGAACATGAGATCATTTAACAGGGAAGAGGAGGGTAAGAAAAGAAGGGAGGAGAGGAAGAAAGACCAGCTTCTGCTGGGCCAGGTGTCATCCCAAGGCCGGGTTCACAAGTCTCGTGCCCTACGCGTGGAAGCCGATCTCTGACCATCTCTGACCTGGCTGTCGGGCGAACACCCTTCCGTAGTCCCCATGCTGGGGCAGTTGCCTGCCGGGAGCCCAGGTAGTTGTCAGGTGTGGCTAGACTTCTGCTCTCCAAATTCTGAGTCCACTCGAGAACTCGAAGGACCCTTAGAGATCATGAAAAGCCACTTCCTGATTTTGAGGCTAAGGAAACCAGGGCTGAGAGAGTGAGCAACTTGCCCAAGGTCAACCAGGACCCCAGCTGGCCTCGCTCCACAGTGCTGTCTGCTGGGCTAGGCTCCTGCCTTCAGAGCCTTTTCCTTCCTGTCCTGGGCTCTTCCAGGCTTACCTCTGTGGGTACCACCTGTGGGCGGCCATCCTGGGGCCCAGGCGGGTGGGCCTGCGGGCTGCCTGGTGCCAGCTCAGGTCTGCGCCCTCCTGCAGTACATGGAGACGCTGTCCCAGCTGGCCTACCACCCTCTGAAGATGCAGAGCTGCTACGAGAAGATGGAACCACTGCGGCTTGATGGCCTGCAGCAGCGTTTCGACGTGTCCAGCACATCCGTGTTCAAGCAGCGAGCCCAGATCCACATGCGTGAGGTGGGCCAGGCCGCTGTCCCGGCACCCCATGCCCTGCCCACTGCCCTTCTGCGGGCTGCACTGCGGCCAGCTCCCCGGCAGGCTCTCCTGCTGTGCCCTCCAAACTCCTGCACCTCTGCTCACCTGGCTGTTCTCACTCAGCTGCTGGGTCTCAGCTCAGAGATCTCTTCTTCCAGGAAGCTCTCCTTCCTTCCCCAAGCCACTTCCTATGTCTCCTGTCCCCAGCACCGGGCCTGTCACACCTTTCGGGATTTGGGGCACACATGCATACACGCCTCATGTGCTTCTCAGGCTGCTGGGTCCAGGGCTCAAACAGTGCAGCCGGCCGCGTGGGATCCAGCCGCCTTAACTGCATACTACCGGCTGGCCCTATGCTGCACACTGTTCGTGAACTTCTTAACGGCCGTCACTACGTGAGCAGCGAGCGTGTGGATACTCGCAGCGCAGCCCGCCCCGCTCCTCCTGGGCACGTGGTCCTCCTGGGCACGTGGTCCTCTGGAGGCCTCACGTACCCTGTGGTGTGCCCACAGCAAATGGACAATGCTGTGTACACCTTCGAGACACTCCTGCACCAAGAGCTGGGGAAGGGCCCCACCAAGGAGGAGCTGTGCAAATCGATCCAGCGGATCCTAGAGCGGGTGCTCAAGGTGAGTGTTGTCCCCGGCCTTGGCCTGTCCCTGAGCCCAGCTCCCGGCCACCGCCAGGATGGCTGCCCCTATGAGAAAGGCCACTGGTCTGCTTGCACGGGTGAGCGCCCCAAGGCTCGGACCGCTGGCCTCAGCTCCCTGCCAGGCCAGTGGAGCCTCTGACCCAGGGCCCTGGCCCGGCCTTCCCTCTCGCAGAAGTATGACTATGACAGCAGCTCTGTGCGGAAGAGGTTCTTCCGGGAGGCGCTGCTGCAGATCAGCATCCCCTTCCTGCTCAAGAAGCT